AATTTTTGTGTTTTTTCATTTATTTTCTATCTAACCTAGTAAATTTGTAATTTTACATTTTGATTACATTTATTATAAAATATATATAGAGGAATAAATAAAAAATATACATAAAAACAAAAAATTTATCACTTACTAATGCTTATAGGCCTATTTGTACTCCAGAATATACTTCTGTAAGACTATTGTTTTAACAGTGTGTTGGTTTTCCAAAAAAAAAAACAGTTCAATTTAGAACACAAAAAGTACATCAAACACCAGTTTAGAATGTCCAAAAAATAATATAATTGTTTGGTTTTCTATTTTCTCTATAAATAGGTTAAATATTACTTTTTGGAGCAACATCTTCCATCTAAATCTAATGAGTTCTACCATGAATTGTTGGCTTTTACAGCTCAAATGTTCATAAGACTTATGTGGTGCAGAAATTTCTCATATTATTGGTTATAAATATGTCTGATAGCAACATCAGAAAGAATTAAAGAAAGTTCTTGAAAGACAAGGGATATGAGAAGAGCATATGAATGTGGGTTGAACAAATATAATATTCCAGTAAGTCAAAAAGATAAGAAGTTGAAATCTTATATTTTGACTAGTAAATATATATAACACGTTTGTCATTGATTGAATAAGCTGAAGCTCTTGTAATGGAAAATAAGTCTGAAACTAAGAAGTCATATCAACATCAAATCATGTGACTCTGAGAGGGGCAGATTGAAAATTTATTTAAAAATTTCTTTTTGAAATTAAAATTTAGATAACATAAAAGTTTGTATAAACCATGTTTTTATGCCAAATTTATTGACACACATTGATAATAAAGTTAGATTTTGAACACAACTCTTTAAAAAAGCTGTGACATGTGCACTTGTATCCACCCCCCCACCCCCCAATTGGGTTAATTAAAACAAATTACCAATATTTAATTTCACTCTTTCTAAGTTAAGCCTCCTTAATTTGCATTACCTAAAATAAAGATGCATTATATGAAAGTAGCAGTATATAATCTACATTGTGAAATATTTAAATAATATTAATGACAATCAGTTTGAATAGGAAATTCAAATAATATCTCAGAAAGATTATGCACTTTAATTACTTAATATGATTATCTTGGAAAACACTGAAAGCAAAAACACCCAAATCAACTCTCTCAATGCAAATAAGTCAAAGTGTGCATGTTACAACTTTTCATAGAATTATACTCAAAAGTTAATTAAATTACTTTATTATCAATGTATACAAATACTCTTGATACCAAAACCTAATTAATAAATGAAGTTTTAACATACGTGTTAATTTCTTAATTTCAAAAAAAAAAATTTAAATAAATTATCAATCTATGTAATGTGACACTTGTTTGCTCCAATTGCCAATTTTCTTTTTCCATCACTCCTCCATAATGTCCTGAATCTAACATAAATTACATATTATAGTATAGATATCACTAAGGCACAGTCTAATTTTTATAACTTCAGTCTTCTTTATTTAAACAAATATAAACCAAGAAGTCAGATCCACTTGCCATGCCCTCCTATTACATCCTCTCTTTAAAAAGTGGATCTGACTTCTTTGTTTATATTTCTATTGGTTATAAATGATGTAATAGAAAACGTTGGAGAGAATTACTGTCATTTTGCCATGCCCTCCTATTACATCCTCTCTTTAACAAAATGACAGTAATTCTCTCCAACGTTTTCTATTACATTATTTATAACCAATAGAAATATAAACTAAGAAGTCAGATCCACTTGCCATGCCCTCCTATTACATCCCCTCTTTAACAAAATGACAGTAATTCCCTCCAACATTTTCTATTACAAAATAAGGAAACTTAAGTTTCATCAGTGTGCCAACTGCAAAAAAAGTAACAGGCCAAACATAAGTACTAAATATTTTTTATGTATACTTTATATTTTTATTATAAAAGCAATTAAAATGTAAAAATTAGAAATATATTAGGTTAGATAATGAAAACATTTCTAAACAAAATATGCTCGCAACTAGCACTGGAATAGCTCATGTCATTCAATACTGCAACTTGAGCTATGCATTCGCCACGTGACTAACAGCTTGTATTGTGGATTATTTGTTAAACACAGTTAAAACAGCAATAAAACCACAATTAAAACATGGCAACTGTTATGAGCTTTAAACTATTTAAACTATAATTTTTTGTTACTATCTGCATCATTCTAGAAAGAAAAAAGATAATTTATTTATGGTGGTTAAAAGGTCAGTGAAATCAAGCAAGTCAATATAATTTTAGGGTAGAGAAAATGCAGATAAACATTTACTAAAAAAACTTTTGATATTCATTTAGGAAGTCTTAGAGGTTATGCAAATGAAATTTGAAAACTTTACAAAATGAAAAAAAAGCATATTTAATCTTAACATGAAAATCACTTTGCACTCAGACTAGTCAGAGTCTGAGTCACTCTGAATTTTGTGATGTTTACTAAAAGCCTTACTATATTAAAAGTTATAGTATGGACACTTTCATCGTTACTGATGGTTGTAACGTTAGCCAAAATGACCAGGCCCATATCAATAAAGGACAAATTTTCCAAAGAAATTTGTATTTCTCTCGGTAAATTCTAATAAATCGAGGTCATATTTATCAGGGAGAGGTCTTTCTTACAGCATTACCCACACATCACTTTATTAAGTCTCTTCAGATTCATTTTTGATCATAAATAATCTTTCATATGAAAAAAAAAGATGAACAGAATCTTTTAGTTGTTACTGTGGCCACCATCATTGTATAATAGAAGCAGAGTAGTTTGTGAATTTCTAGGATTAATCTATTAGTCACCAGTACTGCATTCATTGCATTTGAAATGGTTTAGATATTTGTCACCTTTATAATTTCATTTCCTTTGTGAACTTTGGAAACTTTACAGTTGTTTCTTATTTCCAATAATAAGCAACAGTTTTCCACATCACTAACCACAATGGTGTCATTATTATCAAACTGTTGAGCCAGTTCATTGTCCAGAACTTCCAAAAGTTAATAGTACTGCTATGTGTAAAAAATTTCTGGCTTTTGAAAGTTGTGATTTTATTTGCTTTCATATATTCTTCTCGAGGATAGGGTTCTTTGGTGTGTGGGAATCTTTGAATGTTTTGCAGGTCTATTCTGAACACTGCTACTGAAGAAATTTCTTTGCCAATTTTACAGTTTTTCTTGCATCTTGAAGTGACATGTTTACTGCTTGAAGTATTCAAGATAATTGTTCAGCATCAGAGAAAATGAGATAAGAAAGACATGGTCCATAAAAATACTGAATTTGTCAAGTACTGCCAAAATGTCAACAGCTCTTGTCCTATATTCATCTAAGAATGATTATTAATCTCAGTCATTGCAGCACACAATATACTTTAGTTGTTAAGAAACCCTTTTCAGGCAGTCTAAAGTGTAAAACAAAGAGTTCACAAGTTTTGATTCTTTCTTGAAACTTTAAATGAGATGACTTCATTCTGGGGATTTGATAAGTTGAGTCACCTCCATTACTAAGTATAATGTGAACAGATTTACACCTTTACTCAATTCTTGAAGATACAGGTCTATACAATGTGCCAGGCAGTGAATGTGAATGATTATAGTATTCTGTTGATCAAATGTTGAATGTTTACCAGAATATCATTAAGCACATTGCAGATTATAAATGAATCAGTCTGAGGCAAGTCCATTGTACCAGTTAATTCCTCATGAATGTTGTGTTCCTATACCCAACAAAATAAAAATGACCATCTGTTCTTTGTTGGCCATATTCAAGAGCTTCATTAAGAAAATGTAATCTTTATTATGTTTATAAAAGGATTCAAAACACCGAAATTTTATCTAAATACAAAAACATTTATAAAAGGTCGATATAATGCTTGAAGATGGCTTGAATGGGTAATGAAGGAAAAACTTATATAACTTAATATAAGTTGAACATAACAGCAAATGTACAATGTTTCGACAAGGTTTTATCTTCATTACCCATTTAAGCCATCTCCAAGCATTATTAGTCTCAAAGTGGGTTCCTTGTCATTGAAAGGTCAATATGTTTTACTGAGAAATCTTGCCTATAAATACTCATTTATATGATCATACCAGTCTGCTTTCTTCACATCTTGGAGTGAAACAAATCCAGCCATCACTTTAGATTTGCACATTTTAAATTCAGAAAGGGACCTTCAATAAATATTGAAGGATGATTGGATAATACTTGTTCACACCAGTTGCTTTTCTCCACCCATATATCCAGCTGAACAATGGATAAAATCACAATGAACCCATGCTTTTCCTTCTAATTTTGTGATAGGTCAGAATTGAGATTCTTTTTTAAATAAAAAAGTACATCTTACACTGTGTATTGGAAACAACCAACAATATGTTCAACTATGATGTTAATAAAAATAACTACAAAAAAATCCACATATATTCGCATACAATACTGAACTAACATTAACAAACAAGTGGACATCATACAAGTGTAACATTAAAACAAAGTATAGGCTTGGCAAGATAAATTTTCATTGATATTAAGGGTTATTTCTGTTTAAGAAATCACCTGAGACATGTTTTTGGGTAGTTTTGGTTGTTGTTTAGATACAAAAAAATGAAAAATCAGTAATTACTTAATCATTATGCTTCATCATAATAATTTTGCTGAATAATTACTATGAATGAAGGGCATGAAAATGACACAATAACATACTGTCTCAAGATAAATTTCTTCACTCAATAATACGTTGATGATTTTTTCTGGGAAAATAATGTAGCCAGGGAAAAATATTAATGATTCATTTTATAATATAGACACAAAATGTAGGGGAAAAGCTTTGTTTCCAAGGGTTGAAAGATTTACTTTACTGAAGTGTTGTGGTGGTTTCCTAAAGGAGAGGGGGGGACTATTCACGCTTAAAAGTGGTTGGAACACAGACCAGGTGGTAGCCCCATGACTCAGTGGTCAATGATTGAAAATATTGTTAACCTAGAATTGACTTACCAAATGATTCTGAGAGTTGAGGAGAAGCCCTGTTTCCTGGAGGGTCATCAAGATAATAGTAGTCAGCTTGAAAGTACTTTCTGTAGAATAGAAGTACTAATGATCACTTTTACAGCATACATAGTTTTAGCACAGATACATTGACTAAATAAGGCTTTCAAATAATCAGAACAGCTATTGAGTTTTCAAAATTATATCCTACAAAATCATAAAATTTCAACACGATGATAAAAAATCAATAGGAGGTCATTACAAGTACTTCACTATTTTTTAGTATTGGCAAAATTAAGATTTTACTCCTGAGTTTAGTACAATGGATAAGTTACATTCTGACCTTTATTTGTAGCTTATATAATATACATCCATTTTTATACACATGCAATAATTTCAAAAAAGTTTTCAACATTTTTTATCACATATTAAACTCACAAGAAAGTATACACAAACAAAATATATACAGACATTGAAAACTCTGTGTGAAAAACATGAATCCATAAGTTTTAAAAAAAACTTATTATGATTTAATATTAAGTTTTCAGTAAGACTATATCACATCACCCTTAAGGGTTCTCAACCAACTCTGATGAGAAAAAAATAACATACTTACAATTTTAATACAAATATAAAAAAAAAGTTAAATACTCATCAGTCAAAACAGAACAGAAATGTGCTTTCTTCCATGATGAAGTTTTGTCAATGTATGATCAACAAGGACAAGGTTAGAGGGGAAATTATTTTTAATTTGTAACATGTTTATAATAAGGTGATAACTACTTTACATATATATGTCAAAGTTTCATTACATCTCAAGTTCTTTGTATAAGATGTCTTTGAATATTTCTGCTTGCATAATAAAAAACACAACATTCAATGTCAATTTAAAAATTATCCCAAAAAAATCCTTCTTTATAAAAAATGATTCAAGTTTAAAATTAGTTGACAAACAAATCTTTGATTCATTTCTCTTGTACATGACAAATCACTTTTCTTAAATTTTACATTTTTAGAATTTAAATAAATTTCAGACAGTTACTTACCTCTGAAATATTGTAAGCCATTTTTTTGTAGAATTTTCTCTCATACCATACAATAAATATGATTCAAAATTTTTAGTTTTCTATGCACTGCATCAGGAGATCTTGCATAAGCTCTCCCTTCCTGTCATAATATATGTTTTACTGAAAGTGGCAGTTGGGATAAAAACCAGTTGTTTGGGAAGTGGGTGAGAAAATATTTCAAGAGGTGAGTACTTGTTTGAAATTAATTTTCATTTCAAAAAATGTAAAATTCAAATCAGGTAGTCTTAGTCCTGAATAATGTAAGACAGAATACCACATTTTAAAAGGAGGTGGGATCCAGTGATATTGCAAATGATAGAGAAAAAAATTATAAAGCTACAAGCTACAGGGCAGAAAGATGATAATCTATACAACAATAAAGATGTAGTTGAGTAGAGTCAAAGTGGAATGTAGAACCAGAAAGATTTGGTGAACTGAATTTGAAGCAGAATTGGTGAAGTAGATCAGCATTATAAAAAGGCACTCAGAAATACAGATTTCTCCTCAGCAGAGTTCCTCTTCACCCTTGACGCTTTTCAATTTGTACAAAATTAGGGTGATGCTGGTTTACTGAACATCTGAAATCAATGGTGGGAATACGGGTGGTGGCATAAGCAGGGAGATGAAATTATAGGGGGAGACTTTTTTTCAAAATATTCCACAATCCCAGACACCCTTTAAGTGAGTAACAGTGGGTGTTGGGCAGAATATAAAATAATTCTCCTTTTAAGGATTCCAATTGGCTTAGAGAATACCAGGTGGTAAACATAATCTTGAAACTGAAGAGACATCAATGTGATGGAGGTAAAATTGAAGAAAAGTATTTGAATATGTCCATATGCTGGTCAAATTGGGATATAAAGCAGTCACTTGCTCCTGAGAAAGAAACAAGGGAGATCAAAGCAGCTAATAGCTGAATCAATGTTGTAGAATGCTTACAAACAAAAATAGAATAAATTAAACTCAATTGTGAATGAACAGTTTTATTGCTATATGCTACATCTTGCCTGTGCCATTATACAGGGATGATGCAAATGCCATCTCTCCATCTCTATTATCTTGTTTGCATTGTTTTTAAAGGACTGATTCAGAAAATGTTTTTCTTTACTTGTTTGTTTGTTGTTGTTTTTAATGCAGTGTTTCAATATACATAAGGAGGTTGTATTTATAACCAAGTTCTAAATACAATAAGGTTCTAACTGTAATATTCATTGTTTATCTATTATTGGCTGGTAATTCTTGTTTCACCCTGTATTTAAGCTTTTTAAAAGAACAATAACGTTCTGTAAGAAAGCTAACTTCAAGGATAATGATAACAGCATTTACACTAGAATTATGATTTTTTTTAAAATTATTACTGATTAATAATATTTATAAAAGCAGATACTCCATTTGAAACTATGTCACCTCAGTGAATTTGGCTGACACCATTGTTTTTTTTTTAGTTAACATGTGTTAAAAAGAAGACCAGAAATTCAAACTTTTTGCTATGATATTTACAGACATTCCCAGAACTTGTGACATAGTCATTACATAGATATTGTTATAAAAGGCAACACTGTACAGGTACTGTAAAGTTCTGATGACCTATTGAGGAGATATTTAAAATACCATTTGGATGAACAATCCGAGTCATCCCTACATAGTGCTACTGCCCGCCTGATTAGTGTCTTTGATGTCCAAATTCTTCATCCAAAAACCTTGATGATGGAATATTTGTAAGAATTCTAATAGTTTCCATGTAAAATGTCCATATAAGGATGGAGATGAGAAAGATCTAATACCAATCTCCTGATTTCTATGTCACTACAATAAGAGGAAAGTAAAAGCCTAGAGAAATATGATGTATTATTTCAATACCCTTTTCTATAAAAGTCTTAAAAGTTCTTGATCTAAAATTTGAATAAAAGCTGGATCGGACAGAAAATAAAAAGAACCTGGAAGATTCATAAGTGAATGAGGAGATTGACATTGGATAAAATATCCAAACTAAAGATTCTGATGAACACAGGATCCCAGAAGGCCCCCTAAAATGCTGGAGGAACTGTTTGGAAATGAAGAAAATCAATGGCTGGTTCGAGAAAGCCCACTTCACGTGCTTATACATTTTGCAACTCAAAAGAAGCATAAAAAAAAAGAGAAGTAGAAAGAGGATGGTTGTTACTAATTAATATTAATTTCCAATCAGAGCAAGCTATTTACTTACATCACAACTAAAAATAAACCTGCCAAACAGTATAGCTAACTGAATATACTTTTCTTATATTTGTACTTACAAAGATTAGAATTCACTGGTTCACCAGTTGGGTACACTCACTGTTAATGATATTTTCAATCATAATTCCATTAATATTTCATGAGGTTTAACTAGCTAAGGAGATCTAGATTATTCCTATACGCATATACATTATGCTAATAATGCCAAAAAGTAGTCAAAAACCTGAAGTAATGCACAAAGCCAGAGTCCTAATTAGTTCTTGCCAAAAAGCTTCTGACTGAGAAATCAACTCGAGAGAAATACCAGGTCTTCAGTAATACAGCAAGAGGGGGAGGGGGAATTATTTGCAAGGAAGCTCTACAAGCTAAAAAAATCAAAAGAACAAGCATGCTAATGGTAACTAAAACCAAATCAATAAGTGATACAGAAAGAGAAACATGTAAAGCAGTCACTTGCTCCTGAGAAAGAAACCAGGGAGATCAAGAAAGGAAGTCATAAAATAAGCATAATATCTGAGCAAAGGTAAGAATATTGAAAAGAAGACAGAATGGAAGACTAAGTGGATGATACCCACCAAAAAAACCAATATGAATGTTTAAAGCTTGTGAAACAATGAACAAATGAAAAAGACTTTGCTAAAATGCTATAGGAATGAAAATTTGTAACAAAGCACTACACCCTTCAAGTGTAGCAGAAACTGGTTCTAGATTTAAAGTGTTATGTACCTTGGAAACTAAAATAAGTTCAGCAGAAGTATCATCAAGATTAGGTGAAAAAGCCAGAGCAAAAAAAAAACAAACTTGTATGTGAAGGTAAAAAAAACATCAAACTGGCATCCACAAGATACTGATTTTCATCAATGATACCCCAAAAAAGACTTGAAATTAATGGTCTGAATACATTGGTCAATAAAAGTCAACAATGCATCTACAATAACTTTCTGAGCACCAGGGGAAGACTGCTGAAATAAAGCTATAAAGAAGCAAAGGATCTCTATCACTGATAGAAGCATTAAGAAAACTGAGTGAAGCAACAACTAAACTCTGTCATGCAAGCTAGGCTGAGTTTATTCCAGCTACGGTGATCATGCTGTTCCCAACCTCCAGATGAGAGGTAAGGGTTACTGTTAAGGCCAATCAACCAGGTGTAAAATTTCTGGGCTAACACGAAATATAGATCTAAGGTTAATTAATGATGAGCATTTGGCTAGGGCATTCCCTGTAAGCAATGTGTAACAGCATCCCCTGTTGCTATTACAGATGGACAAGAGGTACAGCAGACCCCACAGCTGTGGCTATAGAAGCAAGTGGAAAGAAAGTATGAAAAGGTGAGTATGAGCAAACTTGGAACATGGAATATATATACTTGACAGTGGGTCCCAGTCTGTAGCTACAGAGTGATGTGATCCGAGTCACCCGAATCACGACAAGAAGGTAAGCAACACTGAAGTGGGCAAAACTTCTCCTCAACCCAAAGAAGTCTGAAAGGCAACACTCCCATACTCAACCTGAGGAAATGGATCTCAGATGGTCTGGAATTATGAACACTCATTCTCACTCCCTAACCATGTGAGCAAGATAAATTCCATTTGTTCCCAGAATTACGGGGAGGGCATGGAACAAATTGTGTTCAACCAAGGACCCAGGATGGGACCACTCTGCATTTGGAATTATGAGGAGACAGTGGACCCTCTTCCATGAACAATGTACAGAACCAATATTTATCAAAAAGAAGGGCCATGCTCAACCCAACCAGATAGCTGAGCATCAAATCTGAACCGGTATTACAAGTAGGCTCTTGCATA